CCGCCGAAAACTAAGAGAAACATCTGTTTTTGAGTTTTTCTATAAATACGCGAATTCATCGTTTCACTCAACTCATTAAGACTCAAGTAATAATTATTCTGAGACAAGGAATGTTTCAACAAAATCTTAAAAAATCAGCAACGTCAGGTTATGGGCTCCTGGGAACGTTTTTAAGCCACATAAGAGCTTTCCCGGCCGCCTGCTAAATGCGGCGTCACCCAAAAACCTGAAAATTCAAGCGTCCTTTATGGCAAAACGAAGAACGCTTTCGAACCGAAAATTTATACAAATAAAGTTGTTTCGCTGCTGTAATGCCTCATGAAAGTAGAAACTCAGAAGAATCGGTAGTTTCTTAGTTTTTTTTCTTAGAATTTTGGTGACGTCATATGAACCGGAACCGAGAAGAAACGTTCGCTAAGGTGTGGAATTCTAAAATATCAGTAACATGTGTAAGTAAAATTTTTAAAAACATGGTGTATGGTGAACCTTCCATGCATTTGCGTCCCCGACAGCTTAGGACCAGTTTGAAATTAAACTAACTCTGAAAACCAAGACAGACTTAGATTCTGGATTCCAGTCTTTGTCATTGAAACTCGGATTCTTATCTTAGCTTATCGTGTAGCAAAGAATTGAAATAAAATAGTTACTCACTTTTTGCTGAAGGTTATGACAGGATAGCAAAACCAGTCCATAAGGCTTCAGAACAACACAGAACACAAAATACAGCAAAAATAATAGACCGCGAGGGGCTGTCCTTCTTTCCTCATCGCCACGACCGAAAGAGTGAAATTATTCAAATTAATGATGCTTTGCCACTCGCCCCTCGCACGTGCTCTCGATCTCGGTGACTAAAAACAAAAATAAGAGACTACTCGCAGTCTACAAAAGTTGGTATATTTTAATTTTTTGCAGCACGATAAGCTAAGATAAGGCCATATCAGGCCATATATATATATTTTTTCCAGATAAACCCTATAACATGTTACGTTAGCAATATCAGTAGCCTGCGCAACAGGCTAGACGAAACTTAACTCAGGGGCACCCAACGTCAATTTTCGGAAATTATCTGTTCGGCAGACGATTTGAGATCTAGAATTCTAGGAACACTTTTTGTAAAATTTCTTGCTTGCCTGCCTCTCCTAGGATTTTCGAACATTTAAAAAATGGTATAAGAGGTCACCTAGATTTTTCGGAAGCCTTTTTCTGGCTGAAATTTTCGAAAAGGTAAGTTTTGATCCCTATAATTATCGGATCACTAGAATTCCGCTCGGAAATCCGAACACATGAAAAATTTTTAGGGGATAAAAAATATGCCTATATCTAGTGTTTAAATACTAAAATACGTTTAACAATATGCTATGTTGAAATGGGTTTTAACTATATTCTCGTTGGGTGTCCTTGTTAACTCTGGTTAAGTCCGTCGTCTCCGAAACAACACCGAAATCCTTGCTCTGGGCCCCCACATGTGTACCCGGATTTGAGTGCGCGCCATGATTGGCCTGTTAAAAAAGCCATTGTTGATTTGCGAATGAGGTTGAAAGAAAATTTAAGAAAAGCATTCCGGTAATTCCTAGAGTCTGTTGGGGGCCCGGAACAAGCTGATATGAGCGCTGCTTCGGAGACGTTACTAACCAGGGTTAAATTACGTCTGCGACGCACGCTGCACTCACATATTGAGTTTGGGCCGCCTAAGCAAGCCCGTGAGTTGAAGCACAGTGATAATGTGTCGTAGGAGGGAACAAAAAGAGGCAGGGCATGTGATGTCCTGCCTCAGACACATGTATGAATCCCCGATTTTCTGATAAGCATTGATGCTGATAATAGTATATAAAATTCCGAAAACTGTCATGTCATGACTGTCTCCTCAGGATTTATATTATAAACAGCATGTTGTAAGCCTGACATAAATCCAGACTTCGAAGTGGATTTATCCTTTATAAAGTGAGGATTCTTAAGATTCGAAGCCATTTTTGCGATTCCGAATGAAGGCGGGAAAGGACAGACGACACTCATCGTCGTCAGTTCCATCACATTTCAGCTTATAACTTGGTTTCAAAATAGTTTGTAGATGACTCTGCAGTCTTCTCTTGACGAATCTCCTGGGGATTTATGCATTTCATCGCTGGTAAAGGTGGTGGATTTCTCGGGGTGGACCCAGATGGGTTAGTGGAAGAGTTAGGGTGTCTCTTGGCCTCTAGATTGCGTATCTTCCGTTTGCACTCTCTCCGGACCTGATTGAAAAAAAAAAAAAAAGAATAGAAAATTTCTGCTTATATTGAAAATGAGTCAGCCGAGCACCCTTAAAAAGTCTATATATATATATATATATATATATATATATATATATATATATA